ACATCTGGAATACTGTTAATAATGATATTACTGATCGTCCAATGTTTTCCTCACACAGTGCCTGCCAGGATATCTCACCTAAACCCAAGCAAACCTAAATAGGGCCTATAGTTCCTTAAAAAAACCCCAATAATAATAATTACGATATAAGCATTGCAACACTTCGACTAACTCAATGAAGGAGACTGGGAGGACTTTTACGTGTGTCTTGAATGTTGAGAGATATGGGATCGAGTACAGTACTATATAAACCCATTAAAAGAAATCTGACATTAAGAAATGCTCATTGCATTATGTAGGCCAACTGCAGAATAGTTTACGGAGATACACTTTGCCCATTGATGAGCTAGGACATTTTAAATCTTGTAATGAATCTTTGACAAAATATATAACATTTAAGGAATTTATCGTATTATAAATCAATAATTAGGCTAATAGGCTAAGTGCTTACCTGTTGACGCATAAATCGGGAACATCCTGTTCTTTCCTCAAATCCAAGCAATCATTCATCGACTACACAGCAACCGCGCATGAAATTAAAAGTTTTTGACAGAAACCCAGACTCCTAATCAATCAGTGTCATTTTCGTCAACATGGTATCCGTATATTAATCGCTTGAGAACCATTATATTTTTTTTTTATCATTCTGGCGCCAAATGCCCATGCATGCTACTGTTGTCGTGATATACATTCGATCTTCTCACCTCATACGGTACATAAAACATCATAATGATTTGATACATGAGCTCGTTAAAATAGTAACAGTTAAAATTACCTTTACTGCTATCTGATATTTTATTTTCGCGCTATAGATACATTTTGTGTGGTCACGCGTATGGCAGACTATATTAGTGAAAATGGTTAGCAGTGCTCAGGCACGAAGATAATTACTGCACTGTATTGTATTGTATTGTTATCGATGGATTTGAAGGTCACTGCAGTAAATTTGCAAGAGCATACCAACAAATTGTGTTTTCTCTAATGAATTAAGCAAGCGAAAAAAACAAATGTGCTTAAATACAGACTTATGAACGTGTGTGCATAATTTAAGCTCTTGGACCATGGCTTACGATCTCATATTTATTTTTGCTATAGTTATGTGCGTATGACAGACTATACTGAGTGAAAGTGGTCAGCAGGTAGCAGGGGCGTATCTAGGGGATGCGCACCCCTCCCCCCCTCCAACGCCCACATGCTCGTGATCCCCACCCATTGAAAATATCCGAAGCCAAATAATCACGCTCTTGTAGTTAAAAATCACCTCATAACAACTTATTTTGCGACCCAGCCAGTGGCCTATCTAGGAGTCTTGAAATGGGGGAGGTGTGATGGGGAGTGCAAAGGTCACGTGGGGTTCTAAATCGAAAAATAAGGTAATTTTAGGTGATCTTTACTAATTGAGCGTGATTTGCGGGGTGGGGGGAGAAACTGGGGGATCGCGAGTATTTTTTGAAGGGCGTGCGCCCCGTCCTCTGTGCATCCCTAGATACTTCATAGACCTAGCACCCCTCACTTAAATTTCGAGCGCCTTTTCAAGGCTCCTATTCCTCCGGTAAGTAGTGCTCAGACACGAAGATTAGTTACCGTATACTGTATTGTATTGAACAGTATTGTAATGAAATGAAAACAGTACAGAAACAGAAAACAGTGTATAAATCGTGAAGGATTTGAATAATCAGCCTCATATATCTTGCAGAAGTCGTCGAACCTTAGTTTGGCTCCGTAATAAATTTAAGTCTGTAAACTAGATAAAAATAAAATAAAATGTAAAAATGAATAAAGCCTCGAAACCTAATTACATTGTCGTGTTAAAAAGATTGTATATAGGCTACGGTAAACAAAGAAAACAGAAAAATAAAACAGTTTTTCTGATTTACATGTTTTTCACGTTGTAAATGATTTGATTACAAATTTAAGAGTTGTAGCAAACAAAGTATATCTTGCTTCTCTTTGGTGATATGAACAATGTAAGCAAATTAAAATATTTAATTTTATCTTTAAAATTTGATATAGATCAACAGACAAAGGGAGAGAACGAATGCAGGAATATTTTATATAATAGGCCTTCGGGCTCCAATTCCAACGCAAGGGCCTATCCATATTAAACCGATGAATAAGAATAATGACGACAATACGGATAAAGCAAACGTGGTAATCAATTTTGATAAATTAACTGATTGAGATAGAGGGTGTCGTGACCTCACAACTCATCAGTCATGATTGTTCAAAGTCGCCAGGAAATCCCATAATACATCCACATTATATATTATTCTAGGTTGAATCTCAAAAGTCAGGGCAATGTACCGTTTTAGTAATTTCGTTGATTTGACGAGAGAGATGCTAAATAAGGGCCTACTTGTATCTCAAAGTGCATCGCTTTTGATTCAAAGATCTTAGCATAATTTGATTGGGTCCATTTTTTGTTTAATCCTCATCATTTTCAATTGAATAAATCTCACACACACACATTTATTTGATTATGGTAAATGAGAGAATCGAGTTTATATACACCGTATCGCAAATAAACTATCATTATGATTTCTGAAAATAATATCTTTAAGCTGGTGACGTCAATGGTATGCCATTAGATTTCCGGCAACACAGTAAACATTTTACTCACAAAGATTTAAAAAAATCCAAATTACTGTATGTCCATATTGTAAAAAAAAATCAAAGTGTCAGGTCTCTGTTTTCGAAAGCCTGGGTCTTTGTTTTTGTAAACCAATATACTCAAAAACAGAGACCCAGCTAACGAAAAGTGGCCCGCTAGAAAATTAGAAAATCATGTTAATAATTGGTAGCCCACATCATGACTTACACCAGCCATGAGTTTCACCTAAAATGGTCAGTCTCAAACTAACGCTGATAGTTTGCAAGATGATTGATGCTATAATTTTCTGAAATAACGTTTTGTTCATTTGCTACAATCGATCCAACAAAGCAAATGCTGTATTTGATCCAATGACCGGGGTAGTAATGTGAAGCGCTTAGAGGCTTTGTTAAGGCATTAAGCGCTATATAAGAAAGACATATTATTATTATTATTATTTCAATTTTCTATTTTAATCTCATTTGTTTTGTATTTATTTTTGATATGGATATTGTCTGAAATAAAAGGAATTGAAAGAAACAACAATACTAATTTCCTTGACTTTATGGGCGACGGAAGTGGTCCTGCGGGTCAGACACTGGCTGACCAATATTTTGAAAAATATTATATTGAAATAATATTTTTCAAAATAAAAGAAATTCAGTGACATATTTTGTTAAATTATTATTATTATTGATTGCTCCACGTTAAAACGCTATAAACGTGCGCATCAACGAGCAAATTTTGGCTGTTGATGGCAGTGGCGGATTTGAAGGGGAAAGTCAGACCGCCTCCCCCCACCCATATTTTTCAAAAGTTTAAAAAAAAAATGGAGAAAAAAAATATATTAAAAGTTAAGTCTGAGAGTGCCATAAATTGTCCTTACTTGCTCCAACCATGGTGGGGCTGAGGTTCTAGAGTTTAGTCCAATGAAACTGTTTATCATCTTGACCTTCTGACGAAAATTGACCCTACCGGGCGTCACCGCGGCATCACCACCGATTGATCTAACGTGACGTTGTTATGTGGGTGTCTTATAGATTATTGAGAATGGTAATCACCGAAAAAACAGATAAAATAACAGTTGAATGACCAACAAAGACAACTGAAGACAATAGCACATCTTAATTAAGATCGCCAGCACATTTTAACGATTAAAAGATTAAGTTTTTTTTCTGAATATTAAATAATATAACGTAGGGCCTACATTGTAGTCGATCATTTTATAACAATAATTTAAAGAGTCTGTTACCGAATCTTCATATTGCAAATCCGTGACTCTCTCTAATTACGCACATTAGTTAGGTATTCAACCGGTGGGTGTCAATACAAGTCTATGAAACTTTAATAAATACTTCACTTTCATCTGTCACCTGTGAACGTTAATGATTGTTGCCGGTATCGCTATCAGTAGGCCTTATTGCTATAAAATGATTGACTCCAATGTATTCTAGGCCTACGTTATAATAATTTTAAAAAAAACAACAACTTTTACTCTCTTTTAAGAGATATCTAACGATCTTTAAGACTGTCTCTTATACACATCTAGATGTGTATAAGAGACAGGCCTACTTGTATCTCAAAGTGCATCGCTTTTGATTCAAAGATCTTAGTATAATTTGATTGGGTCCATTTTTTGTTTAATCCTCATCATTTTCAATTGAATAAATCTCACACACACACATTTATTTGATTATGGTAAATGAGAGAATCGAGTTTATATATACCGTATCGCAAATAAACTATCATTATGATTTCTGAAAATAATATCTTTAAGCTGGTGACGTCAATGGTATGCCATTAGATTTCCGGCAACACAGTAAACATTTTACTCACAAAGATTTAAAAAAATCCAAATTACTGTATGTCCATATTGTAAAAAAAAATCAAAGTGTCAGGTCTCTGTTTTCGAAAGCCTGGGTCTTTGTTTTTGTAAACCAATATACTCAAAAACAGAGACCCAGCTAACGAAAAGTGGCCCGCTAGAAAATTAGAAAATCATGTTAATAATTGGTAGCCCACATCATGACTTACACCAGCCATGAGGGCTTATTTTAAATCATACATTATTAAGATTGATCTCAGCGCTAGCACATCTTAAAGATCGCTAGCACACCTTAAAGATTAAAATATATAAAAAAAAATTAAATAACACATATTGTAGTCGATCATCCTGCTATCACGCATTGTAATTTTAGGTTTATTTAGTACGATTGACCTCCTGTTTCATTTTCATTTTTTGCTACTGTCTTTGTTGTAGCTTTAGTAACTATAGCGATGATTGTACGACGTTAGTTTATCTATTATTGTAATTTCCTTATAGATTACTGTGTTTAACCTATTGTTCCTTTTTTGAGATTTTTTGAAATTTTTGAAGCATACTGCTATATACAATTAACGTACTGTTTTGTTGTTTAGGAGACGATTTTCATTAAAATAATCTCCAAAAAGAACATGGCAGCGGCCACATTCGATTATGCGCTGGCCAGGCAGCAATATTCAGTGAGTTTACTTTTGTCTGTTTGGTGTGCCAGTGAATCAAAAGGAAATTTTTATTCTTCAATCTGATGAGAATTTTATTTTATCAATGAACTTAAATGTAGTGATTTTGGCTAGACCTCGGCTAGGCCCTAGGCCTCTCTAGCTAGGCCTAGAAAACTAGTCCTAGCCTAGGCCGCCCTAGAGATGGTAGTGCTGGCTAGTACGCTATCCTACTTAGGCCTAGAGGCCTACTTCGTATGCAGCCGAGTTGCTCACTGTCCCAGGCCGAGTAATGCCCCTGACCAGGACCTGGGCTGGCCTATCAAAGTCACGTCAATTAGCTTTCTTTTTATTAATATAATAATTCCAATTTGTATCATACTCGCTCACCACACACACAGACCAGCCTGTGCAAAAAATCTGTCTGCATTTCAGAAAATAAGGGCTGATTTCTGCTCAGATTTTGCCGAAAATTAGGCTTTGAACAAATCTTAATATAGGCCTGTTCTGTAATCAATGCAAATATGCAGCAATTACGATTCTGCACGCCAATTTTTCGCATAAATTTGAGCTAATTTTTTAGATATCCTCAGCGCAATTTAAAAACTTGACAGTATGGCACACAGATAGGCCTGCTGTAGATACATGGGATGATATATTGAGCAGCAGCTTGGCTAAAGTGGTGGGAAGCCCAGCCTCTGTGTGCACAGAACTGTGTACACAACCTTGGTTTCCAGACATTCCAACTTAGATTCTCCTGAAAAATGTATTCAGGGTCTGAATTTTTACCTTTCAATTGAGAATGTGAGGCATGTTGTGGCAAAATGGCTAAGTTGTAGCAAAAATTGAAATTCAAGTTATTGGTATTTTCAGATACCTGAGCATGTGATCTTTAAAATGAGGGGTCATTCATTTAAATTGGACATTTCAAGCCTAAGTTATTGGAAAATGAAAGTATAGTACTCTCAGAATCAAGATAAACATGATTTTGAGTAATTGCCTTTCAAAGTTATTTGTACATACATTGTATAGAATGAACTATCAAAATAACATTAAATAAACAATTTGTTGACTACTTCCAGAACTAATACATTGGTACATGATTAATAAGACATTAAACTATTGATCAATAATGAAAAACAAATTTGGATTTTTAGGCATTTTTTTGAGCTCCCATATATTATAGCTCATTTACTCAATATTGGTCTGAGCGACAACTTAACCATTTCGCCATGACATGCCTCATATATGCATTTCAGGTTGTCGCAACACAATTTTTTTTTTCAAACTACCTCAACCGACGGTCCCATCCTTGATCTTCTTCTTCTTCTTGCCCAGCTGCCAAACTGTCATCATATTGATGATTTTGCAACTATAACGGGCTACCTTGCAGGACAGACTCGCTTAAACTATATTTTCCATGAAAATGATTATTATTATTATTATCCAACAGTGCTTTAAAACTACATACATAACATACTGTATCTGAAATAAATACATATCTACACTGTTGATGCAACTGGTTGGTATAAATGATGTATATATTTTAAGTACTGTAGATGAAGAATTTTTGGTATGAAAAAGGCTAAAAAACTCACAAATAGTACATATTTTATATAATTATATATATATATATATATATATATATATATATATATATATATGTACATGAGATTATTTTAGAGCATGAGACAGACTTCAAATAATACAGTAATAACAGTTCAAAACTTTATCAAAGGTGCAGTGGACTAGATGTTGCACTTTTTTCAATAGCTTTCTCCGCCCCTGAGGGTCACATCATGTTCTCTGCAGCTGGTAGTGGTAAACCGGCGCACTTTCAAGTGTCCATGACAGGGGCCGAGTAAACCAGTACACCGGGGTAACCCCCTAATCATCTCGAAAGATGTACTGGGTTACTTAAAGTGCACATGAGCATTTGTGTACACTGGACCTACAGTTTATAGTCCTTATCCGAGAACACTTGTTCCACCACCAGAACTACAGTATAGGAGCGAGCCGGCCGCGAACCCATGCACGATATTGTTGGCTATGTTTACAGTGCCCCTGCCTTAACCGTTCAGCTATTTGACTTTTGAGTCTCCCACCGAATGCGTGAAACTTAGTATGTATGAGTTCCTGGTTGAATTCCCATCACCGCTCTTCTTGTGTTTCAGCTGGAGGGCTGAAGTACAGTACGAGCTTGCAGATGAGAAGTTTAAGCCATTAAAGCTGGTGTGCAATATGACCCAAGTGTAGGTTAAAACTAGAATGCAGTACACTCTTCGATAACAAGTACCATTTAAAATTTATCAGTTTTTAATTGATTCTCATTTATTGTGAATTAAATTTCAGGTTGCTATTCAGTCAGCATTGCCAAGCAAAGATCTGAAAGAACTTCTAGAATCGACAGCATCCATAGATGGCAGGTAAAGTAGAATTGAGCTGTAGCTACTGTAAGTGGTAGCTTGCCTTCCAACCACAGGATCCTAGGCTTAATCCCTGCCACTTATCCTTTTCTTTACTCATCACCGAAAACAATTTTATTCCCTAAGCATCATAATGAGACTTAGTTTATGTAGAGCATTTAGTGTGTGTGTTTTCCTTGTGAAGGGATTGCCATATTTTCTTAGAATAGTGATTAGAATTGCTGTTTGGAATATCCTTGGCACTTGTGCATAAAAAGTTGAATCATAATTTAAACAGATACTGATTTGGACCCTCAATTCGGTAATATATGACAAAGCACATTTATTTTAGATTTAAATATCCCATCAGTATTTCTGTTGAGACTTGAAAAAAAAAACAAACATTCAGTATTTGAGTTTTTTTTGTGTAACATAAAAGTATAGCACTACAACAACAATTAATAAATGATAAATCATACCATTTCTATATTTCTTCATAGAACTTTAACATTCCTGGTACTGTAATCAGTTTAAAGATTCATGTAGTAACAAAATTTTAAATCATTTAAAACTGTCTGTTGTTAGAAGTTGAGATTGCAATATGTGAACATTTTGAATGATCAATTCAATGTTTTCACTGAATTTTTGAGGTTTTTTTAGTTTTTCAGAAAGAAGTACAGTATGTCCGTCTTAATATGTCATAATTTATTTTTGGAAATTTTCCTTTCAGACTTGTATTTTTGTTTTATTTTTAAGTATTTATATAGTATGATGCCTACATTATTGAAACTTTTTTCCTTGTTTCTGTAGTGACAATGAAAAAAAGCCAGCTTTGGACCAAGCATTTAGAGATGTTCTGTGGAAGTTAGTTGTGAGTATAAAAGATAATTATTTTTTACTTTGTTTTAATAGCAAACATTATTTTTAAAAGGTTTACCTGTTAAAATGAATCAGTCCTACTGTATTGTTTCTTTTAACTATTCTTATGTCTTTTCATTGATTAGGTTGATGAGCGCCACTACAGTGAATATTTGCGCCTTATCCAACTTTCCATCGATGCCGTTGAAAACTCTCTTTCTTCAGCATATACACCTTTCTTGTTGCTAGGAGATCTCTTTGATACTGTTACCATAGAGACATGCAAGGAAGTATTCAAGTTTGTTGAGGAACAGGTTATGGTTTGGAAATCTGTGAGTTGAAAATTTCCACAGAGTTTTATTTCTTTGATTATTCTTATTTTTTCATTCACATTGTACAGTTCAATTAGTTACCATTTGTAAAGTGGACTAATCCAATTTTTTTTATATACCGTACTTGTAACGACTTTTGACGAAATACCCTTATTAATATTTATGACACATTTATCAAGGATAGCACTTAAATCCTGATGAAATATTTTATTTCCGAAGGCTTACTCTACTACTACTATAGTCCTATGTACCATATAAGCTATGATAAGTGCCACATAAAGACTGGATGCAAATACTGTAGTATTTTTAAACCCCTAATGTGTTGATAATCAACAAAGAGGAGGATGTAAAAGAATATCAACGGAAATAGAAATCACAAACATCACATAAAAAAAACACACCTTGCTGGGTTGCCGGGGAGAAGAAAAATGTCTTTTTTTACATATTAGTAGACTCTAAAAGGGCGGTTATCCCCAAAAACTATGACAATCTAGGGTTTTCTAAGGCTTATTTAATGTAAGCCTTTGAAAGCCTTAGATTGTCATAGTTCACTTCCTAGAGATTTTGAGTGACGCTGGACCACGCCCGTTTATGTTCTCTCTTGGAGGGTTAAAAGTTTCAATAGTGCACTGTCTTTGGAACGAGATTTTTAAACCGTTGGTCATGTGTGCAATATGCCCTATGTGCACGTTGAAGAACGCAGTACATTCTTTGGAAAGAGTAAGTGATTGCTTTCAAATGTACTGCTCAACTCACTACCAGAAGAACCACACTGAAAAAAAATCAAAATCCATATTTGGACTTAGTTTAATGTATTCACAAACATGATTCTATCCTATATTGATATGTAATCTGAACTTTTGTTGGATAAAAAGTAAATTATTCAAACTAATTTAAATTTAAATGTTGGTATAATGAATCATTCTGTTTTATTATGTTTTTTTTTTTTTTAATCTTTCAGGATACTTTCTATATAGCTGGTAAAAACTACATCCTAAGAATGTGTAATGGTACGGTCCATTTTCAAGTATATACTGTACATATGGTCATTTGAGTTAATTTTATCTTGAGCATTAGCTGTTAATTTAGTCATCTTGAGTAAAACTTAACATAAGAATATACAGTGTCTCATATGTGCCTTAAAAATTGTTTTGATGCTACAAATATTGTAAGTTAAATTGAAATTTCCTACGGATGGGATGGAAATAATTATTCTTAATGTTGCAATTAATATTTTTTTCTATATGATGCTATATTTTTGTTGCTATTATTGGTAATAACACACTGTCTGCATTCAGGTAATACATTTAAGGAATATAGTGTACATATAGTGTACAACTACTGAAGTTGTTTCATTATTTTCTATTATTCTGTCAGAACACATGTGGAACACAAATGAAATATATAGTGAAATGAAAAATTAAATCTCACAAATTAAGAGAGGTTCACTTTTTCTATGTTCTCAACTGATGTTGATTAGATTATTTGTTTTTTTAATTTCTTTAGATTTGTTAAGAAGATTATCAAAATCACAAAACACAGTTTTTTGTGGAAGGATTCAACTTTTCCTTGCAAGATTCTTCCCATTAGATGAACGTTCAGGTTTGTACTAAATTTCATTTGATGAAATTTAATGGTTCAGTAGTAAATATTCAACCTCTGCAAATAGTACTTCATAATTAAGAGGGTACGCAAACTTTTTACTGTCAGGCCGCACTTTGCCCACCTGTGCACAATAGTGTCACTGCCTAATCTACCGGTTTCAATGACTATTTATTTTTTGGCTGATAACATACCCGACGGCATCAGTACAAATCAATACAGAGTTGGTAAATACCAGTGGAAGTGGTTTGGTGCAGCGGGAATGGTTTGGTTTCCCAACCTCATGGTCGGAGTTTTAATCCTTAGCTGTGCATTTTGCTTGTGTCCTTGAGCAAGGCATTTTATCTGCATTGCTTTAGTCTACCCAGCTGTATCAATGGGTACCAGCAACTTTCTGAGAGCAACCTACGGTAGACTAGCGTCCTACTCAGGAAGAGTGTTACACTCTCATCCGCTTCACGCTACAGAAACTGGGGATATGTTCCCATCCCTATGAGCCCTAGTGGCTTGGCAAATGATTTACTACTACTAGTAAATACCAGTGAATAATAATTTTGATTGTCTTCCACATTCTTATTATATAATTTCTTTCACCAGGTCTCAATCTCATGAGCCAGTTTAACTTGGCCAATGTCACTACATTTAATACAACTGATTCTGAAGTCTCATTAACAGTAAGTATAAAGAACATGTTTAGGTGCAGGGTTAAGTTTTTGGTTATGACTTTAATTTATAAATTTAGCCACATGGAATGGGGGTTTTTAATAGTTAATAAATCTTGCATATAAGCAGCAGTCGCATTGTAGATATGTACAGGATGTGAAAGGGTAACTTTACCGATAGACTCGTTCCTGAACGTACTGTTAATAACATGCTGTTGAAAAAAGTGAACTGTTTTTTTTACGCACTGCAGACTTATTTTCTACACACCATCTGTTATAAAATTATATAATTTAAGAAACCATTTTATATCAGAGTTGTAGCTAAAGAAAACTAAGGGTGGGTGACAGACATTTTGAGGGTGGGTACATGATACCATTGGTACCATATATTGGTATTGGTATTGGTACATGATACCATTGGTAAACTTTAGATAATAAGAGTGGATTTTAAGGATGGAAAAGTGGGGTAATTAGGGTGGTTGGAGGGGCAAAAGATTAGCTTTAGACTGGGTGGAAACTTCACCATAACTACATCCCTGTTATATATATATATGTCTTTTTGTCGTTTCAATAATAACAAAATTTTACATCTCGTGGTCTCACGGCCAAATTGTTTGTAAATTACAATTTTCGTTAAAAATAAAATGATTACAATATACCATTTGATATTTTTTAACTTTTCTGGTTTTGTGGAAGCATAGAACAATTATTTGTATAATTTCTCAGTTAGATGCAGATAAACCTACTAGTATGAATGTCGATGTGACAGGACCAGAGGCCGGCAAGACTGAGAAACCGATTGATTACATTCTTTACAGGAAATTCTGGTCTTTACAAGATTTTTTTCGTAATCCTACACAATGCTATAAAAAAGAAAAGTGGAGACAGTTTCAGAAGGTAAGTAAACAAAATCTTCTTCTTATCGAGTCACTATGTAGCTAGTGTGTATGATCTTGCTTACATAGTGGGATAGAAGGATTCACAGGTAGGATGGATACCGGACATGAGCCACGACGTAAACGCTCCTTCTGTGACCGGACGGGGACTGGAAATGGACCAGTACACCAAAGTAACCCCTTACTGTTCTCGAATGATGTACTGGGTTCTTTAAAGTGCACACGAGCCAATTGTGTACAATGGACCTACGGTTTAGAGTCCTTATCCGAGAAAACTTCTTCCACCACCAGAACAGTAGGCGAGCGTGCTGTTCGAACTAACGCCAATATTATGGCTGTATGTCACTGTTCCCCTGTCTTAACCGCTCGGCCAACCGACTCGCCAGTAAACAAAATAATTAAAAAGAATTCGGTTAGATAATATAAACAGTCATTTATTCGACTTTTTCTTGGAAACATTTCTGGTCTAATGTAAAATGTATGAGGTTGATGATAATGAGCAATGGACAGTGTCCTTTGAGGCTTAATATGGCAACAGACAATTCATGAATGTTTAATAACCATCATCATACGGTTACTATTATTTAACACCTTAAATGACTTTTAATCCCTCGTCTGTGAATATAAATTGCTCATACATTGACTTCATAAATAGCAAACAAAATTTTGCAAGAGAATTTCAGCAGAAAAATTTTTTTTTTTTTTCGTAGAAGTACCAGATAACCAGAATAAGATTTGAATTTAATGATAATACAACTAATAACATACAGGATACTTAAGGGGGATATCTTTTGTGTTTTTTTCCACTTAATGTCATGTTATTTTCCCCTTAACATCGTTTTTTTAATTGTTCTCTAATTTCTCCATTGTCTAAGTTCCCCTTGAGGTAGGTTTATTACATAATAATAACAATAATAATAATAATAATAATAATAATAGAATAAATATTAATAATTCTTAAGTTTAGCATCAAATTGCTAGGCCTCAGTACCAAGGCTCTTTTAGGACTCTATAATGCCTATTATAGGACAAAAAAATGTTGACTTCAGGCCTTCTATTATCTATTTGGTTTTACCTGGGTTTGTCCACCCCTTTTCCAAACTCGTCCCAATATTGCGAGGATCTACGATACAACTAAACTACTGTACTTATACTCCATTTCACTGCTAAAACATTTACAAAATAAGAAATTTGGTATCTGATAACAATTATTGTTTTTACAATTTCACTAATAGTATTCCAAGGTCGTGTTAGATGCATTTACTAGTCTGAAACTTGATGCGGTTCAAGGTTCAAAATCACGAAAACACCAAGCTCGACAGAAGCTGCATAAACAGAGCAAAGACCAGGTCTACTTTGCAAAGTTCTTGACCAGTGAAAAGGTATGTGATAATGTGGATGAGGTTATGTCTGTACTAGTACTGTCTGTCCACTATTGGATTATTATCATAATTTTATCCTCAATATTTAATGTTTTATCCACAATTTATTTTAGTCATTGATTTTCAAAGCATTAATAAATATTGAAGATGTCACCACTGCCTCGTTCTCAATGTCATGACTGTTCGATTGAAATTTTAATGCAACACTGCTGTTCATTATGTTTCCATGCACAGTCAAATTAAGAATATTACATATTTCCTTCAACGCTAATAATATTTAGGCCTAGTTCAGACTAGATAGATAAACCCGGCTCAACTCATCAGGTTTATCCACCTGCCAGTCTGAATTAGGTGGCTTATCTCAAGCCGGGCTGTGTTTCTATAGTAACTAGGCCTGGCGTGCCACCGTGTTTAACTTTTCTAAGCCAGGCTATAATTGCTGCTGGGGGGTGGGGGGTCTTGCGTTGACTTCGGGGTAAAAAATAGATCAATCACCACTCAATTATGTGTGCTGTAAGCGAGCGTACGTTTCGAGCGCAAGTTTTCAAAATATGTTTCCTGGTAACGGTTTATTAATATGCAAATTCTCGCGCTTGGCTAATCCCGCTAGTCTGAGTGCCCGGCAAAGTTAAGCCGGGCTTAGCTCAAGCCTGGCTTATCTCCAAGTCTGAACGTAGCCTTAGTTTTCTAGCAAAGTGCTTTATATTCTGTTTTTTCTTTGTTTCAGTTGTTTGATCTTCAAATTCATGACTCAAGTTTCCGTCGGAGTGTTCTGGTTCAGTTCCTCATTTTGTACCAGTACCTAAACCAAACTGTCAAATTTAAGACGTAAGTTTCAGTTTCAATTCTCGTATTGCTCTTTATCTTTCTTCCTTTCTTTTCCATCAAATTTTATTTTCATTTTCTTTTATGATTTCACTTTATTTTTTTTCCTAATTAATTCAATGCATGTCATCTCATAAATCAAGCAGTGGTGGCATAGGGATTTTCCACATGGGTGTCTGAGGTCCCCCCTCTACTGTGTTCTTCTGGTCATTGGTTATGGTTATATCATACATATAAATTATCAGTATTATTGATACTATTGATTGTTATTTTTATCATTAATGTTATTATTGTTAGGGTATTGTTTTATTTATATTGGTATTATTGTATATTAGTATTATTGTAATTCATCTCCTAAGTACTTCCCTCGAATAAAAGTGGCTTTCAAACATGATTTTATTCACCGATACTGCCCGCGAGTTTGTGCCGCGATATATTCTATTGTGTACAGTGTAGACATTATAGTGCTTGATCAAGAGAACATTTTACAACATGCCTTGATGTCTTGTACCATTGAGACATGGTTAAACAGCCAATTTTCTTACAAAATAAAAATAATTTATGTTACAAGAACTCAGATAGGCCTACTGTATGAACAACCCATGGTAACATTTTATCACTCAAATAATTATACAATAAGTGCCACTCTTAAATATGTACTTCTCCTGAATAAGTGCTCCACTAAAGCCTTAATATTTACAAGTGCACCAAAGCTTATTGGGTCTAATATATTCTATTGTTTTATATGTAGTTTTTATTATTCATGATTTCATTTATTGTCTTACACATATACAAGATAAAGTACATGAAATTTGTTTTTCCAAAGCTGGGAATACACAAAATAAACATACAAATTAGATAATTACAAGGCAAATATTTAATATATACATACAGTGCATAAAAAACTTAAATTATGGTTAATAAAATACAATATATACAGTACAATACAGTAAAGAAGATCTAAATGAGTTGTACACTGTGGGGGTAAACCAGTTTATAAATCACTCTATTAAATTAATATAATATTTGCATTTTACTTAAGACTAGTTAGGTACTTGTGCCAAAACTTTGATAATTTAATTTAATTTTCTGTCACTTTCTTAGGGGTACACATGTTTTAACAGATGAGATGAGTAATCATATAAAGGAGAGCACTGAAGTTGTTTACATGCTCCTTAGAGAGACACCCCCTAATGGAGAAGAATTCGCAAAAACTGTTGAGGTAATTGAAGGAAATCTTAATATGATTGGACATTGTATTTTCTTTTCAGCACCTAAGGGAATAAAAATACTTTTTTTATACACATAGGTGTCAACATATTTCATTTATATTATAGAACACAGGGTAACAATTAGCAAAATTTAAACATTAATTAAGTTGCAACAATTTGTTATTACGAGATAGGCTTTTAAATGGGTATTTGGTATTTTTAAATGAAAGTAGTTTGTAATGTGGGTAGTGAAAGAGGGAGGAGAGGTGTGGTTTAAATTTCCCAAAAACATTAACAGATTGATGTCAGTTTCGGTAAGTGAATTCCCACCATGTTTGACAAGACAAGGGTTTAACTACGCCACTTGCCACGTATGCGTTGACTTTGTTTTCTTTTTAGTTACTCAGGTTTTCTCGTGTTTTCGTAAAATAACACGAGAATACGTTTGTATCTGAGGTCAATATACACACTGTTTTCACGTGGCAATAGAATACATAATAATGTGTTAATGAAAAAGATATTATTACCCAATTCTATTATTGTTATTGTAGTTTTTTGTGTTTTTTTTTTTTTTTTTTTTTTCTTTATACAAAACTCAATCACTTATTAGATATTATAACGTAAAATACAGTCATTCCATTACAATGATCAAAGCACATCACCTGCAGAAGTATTTGATTTACTTTAGGTAATGCATCTTAATGCACATTCATAATTAAAAGTAAATCAAGGAATTTTTCATATAATAATAGTCCTTGTCTGATATAGTTCAACATCATTTTGCCAATTACAGCTGTGTGTATAATGTATATAAGTGACAGAAATGTAATTGTTACAATATTCTCAAATTGTTCTTTTTTAATTATTTAATGATTATGCTCTCTTTTACAATCAAGAAAACCTTCAAACTTCAATTTAAACATTACATTGATTTTAATATTAAATGATAAAATAGGTTATCAAATTCCAATAAGATGCATATTAATATCAAAACACATGATTTACTAACTTTTTAATCTGAAATGCATTTAAATTTTTTTAATTAAACACTAACAACTAAACCCGACAGTGTATCTTGAATTATAATTGATGGCAATGCCATTTAAGTCCTGTCCAGACTATCAAATTTTGTTGACAAAAAATTGTTGTATGCCCATATATAGTCATGATGTGCCTATATACGGTCATGAATTGATGTCATCATGGCCATATTTAGGTATGTCACATGTTTTTATCAAATAATCAGCAGCCATGCAGCTTTAGGTTTTATATATACTTCAGTAGCATCATTTGAAGTATCAGCATTACCTCTTTGCTGAACTATAGTCTCTTTTACAATTTTATTTAACATCACAAGTTGCGATCCAGATTTTCAATCTTTCAAGAGTAGTTTCTGAACTGAGGAAGTCTTGGTCACATCCACATGGCATCAGGGAGTTTATGGAAGCTGAATGGGATACTGTGCATGACAGCTTGTCAGAAGATTAACCACTGCCCACACCATAAATGCCTCATAGCTGCTCTTTTCTTTTCTAAAATGTCTGTCTTATGATTTCCGATAGGCAGTGACCATAGTGAACACACATAATTGCTTCTTAATTATTTTTTGTTTTCTATAGCTTCTGATCTTAATAATATAAACATAGGAAGTTTTTTAGCTACAGTAATATCAAATAAAATTCTTCTATGTGTTTGAACATAAAAAAGCTAGAGCTAGTAAATTAAAATCACGTCATTAGTTTTTACAAGGCCCTTTAAGCTTGGTTTCCATATAATCGCTACACACTATTGCCGACAGCTTTTGGTGATGCTGATCGGTCGGTCGAATCGAGGAGCCTTTCCGATTGTGTGGGTGACTGCTACGCATTACAACGATTGCGCTGAAAACACTGTAGCGATTTTATGGAAACCAGGCTTTAATGAGAATTTGCCAAACACAAAAATATACAAGGCCCTATTGAGCATTGCAGTGCAGACAACGTGATACAAGGCCCTTACTAGCATTGCAGTGCAGACAACGTGATACAAGGCCCTTACTAAACATTTATGGATAATTTAATTTCCATGTGGTAAATCACATGAAAACAATACTTTACAATGTTAGTTATTTTTGGCATGCATCATTTACATTATCCTTGATGGCCCTTATAGTTGAAGATATTTCTTGAATCTCACATTCAGCTGTATAGCGCCCTCATTTGTGGTAATATTTGATACTTGGTATTGGAGAGACTAATTAGAAAATAAAGAATTCTGTAATTTTGAATTTTAGCACACTAAATATTAATTTTTGCTAATGAAATCTGCAGGAAAAGTAATTGTTTATTTGTGTAGGTTGGCTGATCAGACAAACTAGGGTTAGTCCAATGAGCCTTAAAAGAAAATAAAATTAAAAACACTGTTTTGGTTCGATGTCGTAATAATTTACGGTTCATCGGTTCAGTTTTTTAGATTGCATATTTTTCAGCTGTGAACATTTTCATCTTACATATGTTTGACCTACTTTCAATTTTTTTGTGGGTCAAAAAACTTTTAAAAAATAAGTAGTACAAGTGTGAAAAATTTTTAATTTTAATAAAATCCTTTTATGTATAGAAATTTAACAAATCATACAAAGCCAATTTGTTAAATTTCTAGTCTGCTAGTTTATGATTGACATCTGTCAATCACTTTGAATTGTGTGCCAAACAATACACGATAGCTTCACATAATATATATATATTGTACCCTGTCTTTGCATAGATGCACTTACTATCTCCTTAATGGCTTGATTTTTCCTAAGTTCTTTGTCTGGTGCCTGGATTGTGTTTCAACTGACTAATTTCTATTTTTATGTGTGAAAATAGCACTGAAATTTACACTATTGACGGCGAAGAGTTGCGGTTTTCTCTGCGGTTATTGAAGGATGACTTAGTTTGTGTTTGCGTGATTACAAGAGATTATTAACACTATGTAGGTGGCCTTAAACTCTGATTTTGTACTTTTTAGAGTTGAAATAACAAAATATAGCAGTCTCACTTTAATTGTAACATTATCTCCTTTTCTTTTATTATTTGTTATGATTTATAGTAGTTTCTTGTTGGTTCTATATACTGGGAAATGCACTTTTCGTACTTCATGACATTGTAAACATTTACATACTTGTTCTTTAATTGGGAAAATATTGTTCAAAACCATTGAAGTAATTACCTCCTCTGCAGTGTGGTATATTCTGTGGGCAGGCTAAGCTATCCAAAGGGTGGGGTATGGGGGAGGCAGAGCAACATAAGGATAACTTTGGTGCGCAGTGCCATCTGACCAAGCCAGGGGAGTGTTAGTGAGGGGGGTGTCTCCCATTCCTAATGAGATTTTTTTTTAAATAGGTACCTCTGGATGGCTGGAAAAGCACTCTTAGACTTTTAAATGTAAAGTTGATAAAATACAGTTGTTACTTTACTCTGAAACTCAAGGCAATAAATACGCATTTCATTTCATTATGGGCGTGACCAGTGGGGCTTGACCTGTCCAGTGGGGGGGGGGACACTTAAGAGTATATATAAATAGCACTGAAATTTACACTATTTGACGCCAAAGAGTTGAGGTTTTTCTCTGCGGTTATTGAAGGATGACTTAGTTTGTGTTTGCGGGATTACAAGAGATTATAATAATATTAACATTACCCCAGTCATTAGTTCAAACATCTGTGGGGACCTATACTCATGGTAGAATTCCATAATAATATTAATAATAATAATAATGATAATAATAATAATAATAGTAATAATAATAATAATGATATAATAATAATAATAATAATGATATAATAATAATAATAATAATAATAATAATAATAATAATAATAATAATGATGATGTTGCAGCTAGTAACTAGCACATTGTGTACGAACATACCAGGTACTCACTGGTCCTCCTAGGTGAAGAGAGACAACTGTAGGTAAAGTGCTTTGAACTCTCGACCTCAAGGTTTAGAAGCTGAACAGCAATTGCTGCTCCAATCCGCTCCTATAAAGGGTGTACCTGTAATAGTTTTGATTTCCATTATGCTGAATACTCATCAGATGGAATGGAATGGATTTATTCAGTGTGAACACAAAGGATAAAACCTACAAAAGTCTGAAGAAGACTTTTTTTTAAATCTGGGTTTTTCTGGTGGTGATTGGGCAATATACCAACGGGAGACAATCTTCTACTCCTTTCCGAATAGTGTACTGTGTTCTTTAACATGGACACGGAACCAATGGCTTAAACGTCTTATCCAAAAGATGGTGCGCAATCGTAACTCCAGCTGAAATACAAGAAGAGCAGTGATGGGAATTGAACCGGGGACCAAGAGATGTCCATGGTTCAGCGCACACACAGTGGCTACCACTACAGGTAGTTTAGCTGATGGAGCTAAAATCCCCTCCAAAAATACTAATGTTGTGACAGAAATCAAATATGCTACGTACAGTAAATTTATATAGGAATATTCTGACCTGTGACTTCAAAAGAATAAAATGTTTTCAGTCACAGATGAAACTTGAATTCACCTCAAAGTGTTTGTGGTTTAGTATGACATTCACCATGCAGTTTGAGTCCTGGTGAAATTTTTATTTTTCTTTGTTGATCCGATTTCTTCTATACATTTTATTTATATATTTATTTTATTATCCAGTTTTTTTAAAAATACTTATTCATGTGTGCCTTGTACAGTATATTTATATGTTTCTGTAGTCACTAATTATCACCATGAAACATATGAAGAATGTAGGTATGACCATTAACAGGTGAGAAATATCGGTCTCAACCAGTGAGCTTCTGTAATATTCAACCTCTTAATAGGTGTGTTCTCTGTCTACCTGATTGGTTTATAGGTGGGAAATGCACTTTTTAATTAAGGTCGTGTATAAGAAGATTATGAAAACACCTCCTTGTAAATGACAGCTGTTTATGCCGTGCTCGTGATTATCAGAGATAAAGGTGAAGTGGACGCATGTGAATATCTCTTGTATTCCCACATATTCAGTTTTATTTCTTCCACTTTTTCTGGGTTGTCAATATTTATTATGTGACAACCGTTAAGAACATTATATAGGATTTCTTGTCTGATGTTTGACTTTTTATGTTCATGATAATGTTTTTTTTTAATATTTGAGATGCAAGTATTAAGGCTGTACAATTGATTTTCTGGATGGAGTTGTTTTAAGTCCAAACACAAATTTTGATACCAAGATGTCCTCAATAATCAATTACTTGAGTGTGATAACAATTAGGATGCATCCCCTTCCGCCAGTGGCATATTTAAAAGTTATTGACATGAGGGGCTGATAGATTAACAATGGGAAGGTGAGTGATAGCTGGGAATAACATGTTTTGGTTGATTCAGAACTAACTTGCTCAGCAATTTTCAGTGGGGAAAAGGGTAACTGAGGACAAAAGTTTTATTGGAGGTGTTTTGTTTTCAAATTCTTCATTTCACAAGGAAGAAACCCAGAATATCCTGCAAAGTTGTAATCACCCTCATAAGAATTATGTGATGGCCACTATGGATATTTAGGTCTGGATAGATATGCAAATACAAAGAAAGACTTGGATAAGGAACAAGTTTTTTTATTATATGACCTTACATTTATTCTTGGCGTAGTACATGGGATTGAATAATTCAATTTTAGTGTAATATACTAGTTCTGAATTTTGTAATCAAAAACTAAAATCTTTGTTCAAATATTTTTTTAATCTGTTGATGTTAAAGGGATTGAAAAATTAGTTTGTTTAGTAGCACTTTATCATCCATTTGAACTCTACTAATCCAAAGTAATGCCAAATAAACTCATTGAATATTTACATATTACACCATAATACAGTGTTTTGATCTTGGGAGGATTATTAGTAAAATAGGTTCAAAAATCTCAAAACAGTCATCCAAACAAAGATTGTTGTTGCGGAGTGTGACGAAAAGTACAATCACCTCAAAAATAATTTTGGGTCAGATTTCACGGACCGGTAGTCAGCTGAGGAGACACTGAAAGTAGCACAACAATAGGCACACTAGCCCCACCAGCGCTCTTAACATCCATCAGACTGTTACACCATTGTTTTCCTCAATGTCTTTCACAGTGTGTGTGACCGCCATAATAATACCTGTATCTGACCTTTGTTCCACATTTACCCCATCTTCATCCCCCTTGAAATCTTAGATCTATCTATAGTATACACAGTTCTGCTCTAGAGTACCATTGACCAAGCTGCTGATGATAGTATTTTTGTTTATTTTCATCATGATTTTTTGCATAATATATATTTATACATAATTTTCTGAGGGGAGAATGCTCCCTGTAAAAGAAATGGTGATTAATATCTCGGGGCCCATTCCCAAGTAATGTGTTCTCACCCAACCCATTAAACTAATATTTTCTATCAACAACTGTGTCGGCTTCACCCTATCCATTCCCATGTCACCCAGTCGATGTCTCCTTCACCCTAATACCCATTCCCATATCAACAAATATAATAAGTCTCCTTCCTCCTTTCAATTTCCTTCTGTCACCTATGTCCTAATTATCAATGTCTGTTAAAAGTAGGTTTCTTGCCTTGCTGGGTGTTTTATATCAGATAAACTGTGCATTTCCTCCTTTTCTCTCTTTTTTCCATGATATTTTTTTTGCTGTTAGAACTTTATTATGTACCAATGGAAATTAATAACTTGATACATTACATTATAAACATGTTCACACTTTCGATTTCAAAGTACAGGCTCAGTGATATACCGGCTGTAGTAACCTGAATCAAGTAAACCATGAAGGTAAAACTACCTTGTCAATGACTTACAGTATATGAGGAATCCCTGCAGGGGGACAAACTATATTGAGCATATAAGTAAAGAAAGGTTACATTATGCCTTCTCAGGCTGATAAATACAAAAGTACAGTGACCTCCATCATCAGAGGATAATAAGTGCATTGACCTTTATGAAGTCAGTGACCTGGATGCAGTTGAGATTAAGAGTTTTGTAGATTTAAATATAAAATTGAAATGAATGTTTAACATGTAAACCAATTTAAGATTACTTGAGATGTTTTTTAACATCAGTTCATTATGTGGAAACATTTAACATAGTGGAAGGCTATGTAAGAGTAAGGGACATGTCTTGGGCAAGGCAATTCGATTGCTTCTCCACCCAAATAATACATGCATACTGTACCAGATTTTTCTATCGCCCTTTATCAATTGTACACTTTCCACACTGTTTATCTTCTCTCTCTGCATTACAGAATGTTATAAGAGGAAGTAACATTATCATCATCAACATTTTTCCTGAAGTGATAACTGTTTAAAAGTATTAGAATATGTGTGCCATTAAAGAGATTGAGAACTGTAGCAATGTCAAAGGTCACCATATCAAATGCTTATACTGTAGTTGATCAATCAATGCTCACTATTTCCAGCGTCATTGAGATCAAGGAATGAACTATATACTGCCCTCATTAGACAAAGTACTTTATCAGCCTTATATCCAGACACTAAATTATTAGATTTCTGGTCTATTGCAATTAGGACATTGGTATGCATTTTACTGGTTGAACCCATGCTGGTCTTGCCTAAATTATTACTGGCCACTCATGGGCTGACCATGACTTGCATTGTCCAGCCATATTCTACCCTAGTCTTGTATTTGGCAGAAGGAGTGTGCATTTGTTTTGAATGTTGGCAAATGACCGACATAATTTTCAGAGATGTGCACAAATGTGATCCTTTCGTCAAAAGTTTAGCTGTACTTTTTGAAAGTGCTCTAACCCAACTAGACATGATACATAGGAAAATGTTTATACAGTACATTGCTTATATCAACGATTCAAAAGTAATTAATACCTCGTTAGTCATGACTTTACCAAATTAATATTAATGTGTGTAGCATATGTCAATGGCACACATATACTCAATCAAAATATGTCATATAAACTGTATTGGGAAATC